GGCTCCGCGGCTAATCTTCCTTCTTGGACTGTCAGAAACGCAATTGTAAAGAGACATTAAGAGTGTAATGAGAATAAGAGTAGAAGAAGACATCCTAAAACTACCAAGTCAGAGGATGATGCTATGGTGGAGGAAGCTCTTAAAACCCACTATACTACCTATTCTGACATTGCTGAGCAAGTTGCTCCCAATGTTTCTAGTAGGACAGTAAGGAGAAGACTTTAAAAAAAGCATCTTAGGAAGTGGATGGCATAAGAGAGAGTTTATTTGGATGAGGATCTAGCTCAAGAGAGGTTAGAATGTGCATTAGCTCATAGGCATTGGACAAATAAGATGTGGAGAAGGAAGGCAATATGGAGGGATGAGGTAGCTGTGGAAAGGGGAGAAGGAAAAAGAAGAAAATGGATTTTCAGATATCCATATGAGAAATGGAATAAGGATTGTATTGAACCTAAGGCTAGGAGAGGGGAGAGAGGGATTAGCCAGATGATAACTAGTTGTTTTTATAGTCAAACTCAGGGTCTTTTTTTGCCTGTTTTTCCTGATTCTTCTTCTGCTAGGGGTGGAGTTACTGTGAAGTCAATTATTGATGTTTATGATTATTAAGACTTTCTAGGAATATAGGAGAATATCAGAGAAAATACTGGAGAAGAAGAGGTATTTTTTATCATTGACAATGCTAAGACTCACTTGCCTTTTAGGAGATGGCTCAGAGGGCAGGGAATTACACTGATGGAAATTCCTGCCCATTCACCAGATCTCAATCCAATTGAAAGTATTTGGTTTCTGGTGAAAGGAAAATTTCACAAGCACTACTTTGAGCTATATCTTATGAAGTGTGAGGTCAATGTAGTCAAGAAGGCAATAGTAGAGGCCATCACTCATTGTTAGAAACTTCTTGACCTAAAGGTTTTTGATACTTTAGCTGGATTAATAGTGGATAGAATAGAGGCAATTATTAGGACTGATGAATAGTATATCAAATATTAATTTCTACTATGTATTTACATCTTTTAATTATGTTTTTGGTTTTCATGATAGTGGATTAGTGGGTGAGTGTAGTTGTCATTGCTGAAGATTTTCCTCTGTTGAATCGCGGTTAATTTTGTCCATGTATAATACAACCCGTAGATGAAACAGACTGTTGCATCAATAACAGAAACAATGAGGGCCAACTCAGTTCGACTTGAGTACTAAGGCCATTAGTCTAAAGACTCCAATGATCGGGTAATTACTATTGGGAACAGCATGGTTCTTAAATAGTTATATCGTAATTACTGAAGAGAGTGCGGTGATTTTCAGGGTCTCCAAATGTTTGCATTTTTGAAGAATACCTAACATTACAAATTACAATCAGAGAGGTACATAGTGGTATAATAGATAGATGTAGTCCATGAAAACTCGGACGCGAAATATAAATATTGAAGTATCTTTCAAGCTTTTAAACATTATTAAGTAACGGAAAAGAGACCTTAACAATATAATATTGTTTTTACAATTCTATCTTACTGTCACGAATGTGGCTTGGCATGGAAAAGGTTTTCACATGACTCATGATTATAAGGCATAGGTATGTTATTGTTTCACACATATGACTCATTTGAGTCATATGATTTATTATGTTATAATTTGTTATGTTTTGCACATGACTCAATTATGAGTCATGGGACGTGCACCTGACGAGTATCACTTGCGAGTGTACCTTGTGAGTATGCCTTACACATATGATTTATATTTTGCACATGACCTTATTATGAGGTCATGGGTTTCATGCATATGACTCAGTTGAGTCATATGACTTGTTTATTGTGATATGATTGGTTTATGAGTTATCGCACATGACCTTGCTACGAGGTCATGGGTTTTGAGCATGTGACCACTTTAGTCACATGACTAGTTTGTTATGATTTGGTTTCATACATGTGAACACTCTGGGTCACATGACTATGGGCAGAAAGGAGATATTGACATCGACGATCAAAACCTTAACTTAGGAGGATTTAGCAATGTCCTAGATCACGTTTCAGCAGAGCCCTCAATGGCAGCAAGCTCAGTAACCCCAGAGAAGAGATCACCAGTCGATAACTCTCCTGCAGGAACCCCACGACCTGAGAGAATGTCAGGATCAGCAGTTCCTGTGCCACTGGCCCCGGCCGCTCCGGTACTAGGTACTAGCATACTTGGAATAACTGAGAATTAGTTTCTGGCATTTGTAGCAGCAACACGAAACACAGGATAAGGAAATATCCATCGACCAAAAGCAAAAGAATCTGACACGTACCAGGAAGCTGAAGATAAGCTATGAATATTCCTGGCACAATGCGAAGGGTATTTTACCATCAAGAGATATGGAGAACACCACGATGAGATCAAGATTCACTATGTGGAATCTCTACTCAGAGGACTCGCAGGACAATAGATCATACCCTTCTAAGATGGAAGGAAACAGAGAGAATGGGTTACGTATGAGGAATTCAAGGCGACACTCTTTGAACAATTCGGAGATTCCAATGCTAAGGAGACAGCAAGACGAAAGATGTAGAAATTCCAACAAGGAAAACAGACCTTTTCAGCATACTGGAATGAATGCCAACTATTGGAATACGAGGCAGAATTTGATAATGCTACCCTCTACACCATGCTCCTAAGAAACTGTAGTAAGAGACTCCGGGAGGCATGGGGAATCTCTGACTCACGATACATAACAGCAGAATGATTTGCAAGATGGGCGATCGATAAGGAAAGCAAACTAAACATGGTTCGAAATAA